GAGGGTGTAGACATTGAAAGACTCTATTTATTCTGGAGTGTGATTCCAAACAACCATCGATGCTATTCTGTGAACCAGAAAAGAGGTCAAGAGATATTGAGAAGTAATAAATTAAACATAGTGTATAAATATAGATTGAGGGGCGTGAAGAAAGATTGGGAAGAAATGACGTTGAAGAATAATATTAGCCTGAGGGAAGTTGAATGCTGACAGAGTTATGAGGGTGGCTGACACTTCCTGGTCGCCTACACTGTGTGAAACTACTTTAAAAGTGTACTTGAAAAAGAAGTGTTATTCGTAATAGTGGTGCGTGACCTCAGAGCCAAATGGATAACTGCTTGTAGCCAGTCTTACACACTCTATTTGGGAGTTTGAGGTTTCGTTTTGGTTGACGTAGATTCAAGTAGAAAACCATTACCTTAGGCACCGATAGACTGCAAGGCAGGAGCAGCGTACTTTTTTGGGATCACTGTTTTCTAATCCCATCCTTTCATAGCCAAGGTATCATTAGCATGATGCTTCTGGTCATCCACGGGAAGCAACTTAATGCTGTCTCACCTATGCCCAGCCAGGAGTACAACTTCGTCCTTAGATTCCAATCATGGCCCAGCAATTTGTATTATGAAATTAATTGCTTTCTGTCTTATCACCACCCAACAAACCTTTTTGGCATGGCAGAACCTCAAAGCATAAGTGTTTTATTAGGGTAGGTTGTTGGGTCATCATGACTGCAAGTTTAATAATCAATTCTAGGTAGTATTCATATGACAGGCTGTAACCAACTGCCCCACAGTGCACTTTTTTGTGGTAAACAGTTTTCTTATTAGCAAAATGAACAGCGTCCTGGGAACAACAAACAAGCACTTTTGTGAAAATGTTACTGATAACTCACGACTTGTATCACATATTTTATATAAGTACATAAAGCGTATTTACTTACAGTCGCATTTTTGAATGCAATTATCGAAAGTCTGGTGAACTATTTTCACGTGGGATTTTAGCGGACCAGGGTTTACCCTGCTCATAGTGTAGATTATTTGAGAACAATCAATTTATTTTCACTAAACTCAAGAATGACAGTCGAATTTCAGCTCATATTATATGCCAGAAGCTATCAAGATAATAAAGGAAATCTATTAAAATGTCATCAACTCTCATTTAGCATTTATTAGATCACTAGCGAGTATAATATCAGCTGAGTATAATTCCTTAGGTGGAATATTGTACTTTTCTCGAGGTGATTACTGAAGCCGGAAGAAACTCTATTGACGTAGAGAAATTCAATCAACTGAACATGAAATTAATATCTGAAGGCGTCCTGAAGATTCATTCATCATTACCGTTTACTGAGATGAATTTATTGAAAATGTCTATCTTAAGTAGTTAAGTCAACCATACGCTGCCCAACTTGACATAAACATTTTGTTGTTGAGTAATTTCCTTTTGTGATTTTGATTTCTGGAACGGGGGGGTTCTGTGAAGGTGTTTTGCATTGTATTCTTCAGTGGAAGTCTACTGCAAAGTATCAACTGTCCATAAAGTTTAGAACTGCATGGTTTGAAGCATTTCATTCTTCGTAATACTTTTATTGGTAGCAGTTAGATACATGTTCATAAACTTACATCTTACTTGCAATTTGAAGTTTCAAAATATCACCAACAGAAGAAATTAATTGACTTGATTTATTAAAGGGCAAATGGTAGAAGCTCAGTTCACTTAAAAAAAGATCAATCACAAACGGCAGCAATGTAGGGAAGTTTGAAATGATCGACTTTTCTACAAAGAAGTGCATCATTAAACAACTAAAATCTCTCTTAAATGCATTGAGAATTTTCTTTTCGATGATACCATTTACTAAAGCTGCATAATCTTCATCAGCACTATGCGTCACCGATTGATGAGAATAAACTTTAATCCCTAATTATTAAACTTTAGAAGTAGGCGTAAAATCTGCGTTTCTGTTTCACTGAATGCATGTTAACTGAGAAATGATAGATGGATTTTCCAACTGTATCACAAAAATCAGAGCTAGATGATCAGTTTAAAAACCGCACAGTTCACAATGACATTCTTGTGTTTCTGACCATAAATTGATGTTAAAGGTTTCATTGATAATAATAAGGCGTCACGACTTTAAAATCTGGTGGAAATCATTCATCATCTTAAAGCACAAGAAGGTTCAGTAGTCAATAAACACATTGTGTATGTCATCCTAATGGATAACACACAATTCAAAGTCTATTTTTCAGGCAACCAGTTAGAAAAATCAGTGATCTAGTGCAGTCAGTCAGACAAACAGAAAAGCCAAAGTAGGACCTCGCACACAAGCGCATCACCTCAAGCTGCCACACTTCACAATAGTGTACAAAGAATGGGTGGATGGAAAAAGAGTTAAACCAAATTAGTGAGAGAATATATGGTCTGAAGATAACAATCAGTCCAAATATTCAAGCTTTAGAAGGTGTCAGTAAGTGAATACATCTGTGCCATTGTCACCAATTTTCATTTATGTCGTCAACAGTCCTCAACCACCGATTCGTGTCATCTTAGGGACTCAAGGCAGGCAGTCTACATCTCCCCACACAAGTTGGACAAACATTTTGGGACTCCACCGACTGGTGCTATATCTTGGTCTGGCCACGCTGAACTTTCTTCCAACCTAATCCAACTTTCCCACCTAGCATGGCACGTCAAGGTAGGTGGTTACTCGGCATGCTCAATACATATCCAAGCCATCTAAGTCAAGTAAGGTTCACAACCTCAGCAATCGACTTACCTGTCTTGCCTAGTACACTTCCCTGACCTCAACATTGCTCACATTGTGATTCCACCATACGTTAGCGATGCTAAGAGGACATCTGTGATCAAAACCCTGTAATCGCCTAAAGTCTTCTTTTAACGGTCATGCCTTACAGCCGTATAACAGGACAGATCGGACTGCAGCGCAGTATGCTTATCATGTGATAGGTAGTCAGATATCTTGCCAGTCGGAGCCACAGATTACGCAAGTTGGCAAACATCAAACGGGCTTTCTGTATTCAAGTTGAGAGCCCCTCAGCAAATAGCCTGTTCGGGCTCATGCAATTTCCTAAGTAAGGGGGGTAGTCGACACACTCCACCACTTCACTCCCCATCATTAAACTGAATGGGAGTACTTGGAGCAGACCAATCGTGGAGCATCATCTTACGTTTGACAAGTGCGGTCGAAGAATATGCCAAACATACTCAGATTTCTAGTCAACGTTTTCAGGAGACCCCACATTTCGCCAGCGTCTTCACCTTACATCATGACAATATCTTCTGTATAATCCAAGTCAACCAGATGACCTCCACAGCGTAGGTTAATTTCTGTGAAGTCAGACATATTTAAGGTTATGTCCATTAATATGTCTATGATGAGGTTAAATAGTTACAGTGACAGTGGAAATCCCTGGCTAACACCATTTAATGTCGTCAATTCACATGACAACTCCCATAAGCTGCATGAGTTCAAGCAGAGAGCTTTGTTTAGTGTTATATGGTTTATCGATACTCCTTTCAAAGTTGCATCGTCACGAGACTTCATGGTCGCCAGAGTCAACTACCGCCTTCAAATCAAGAAATATGGCAAGTGTCGGTGGTTCATGGGTAAGTATGTCTGTGTTCCAGGAGCTCTTGTAGGGTTAAAAATATGATCTATGCAACCTAGTTCAGGTCTGAAACCTGCCTGTAGTGCAATGAGGTAAAAAATATAGAACTGATGACTTAACATTTGTTAGTTCACCATTCGTTTGATCAAAGCAGTTTTAGATATGACTTACTAGTGAAACCAGTGGAGATTAGGTTGAAGTTGCTTAGTATCCCCCATTATTCTGTTCACCTTTCAATTTTGTTTCATATCTTCGTAACAGCAGTGGATGTTTTTATGTGGCATATTTTTCGGCACTCATGATATATCAGCTGTGTTACAATTCATGTAACAATATAGTATGCTATTTTTTGTTACAATGGTAAGTTAGGGTGTAAAGGAACTCAATAATGTTTCTTAACTTTGGTCATAACAACTGCATCAGGCTTTCATAAAAATATCTCCAAGTATCTCAATATATAACAAGTCAAACAATGAACTAATAGTTATCCTAGTCTACTGTATTCTTTGGGTTTTTGGTCCAGACACAACTAATCATCCGCTATCAGTCAATGAATGATCTATTACTGAGCACTTTGTCAAATAAATGAATCGCATGTGAAATTTTAATCTATCATAATTTTCAAGCGTTAGGTTTATATTTACAAACTGACATTTTTCAGTGAATCGCAATAAATATGTAACTTTTGTTGGTGTTATCTTCTGTGAGCTGGATGGTTTAAACGTGAAGCTTTCACTGTTATTCTAGACATCTTCATCATCACAAACTTCAGATATAAACTACAAATATTCTCTATCACCTCAAAAACATATCTGCACAGTTCGTGAAGAGAGCGATATGAAAACAACTGAGACTTCATTACTTGTTTAGCCATTAACCTCTGTCACTTACTTAAAGTAAAGAACTTCAACATTCCAACAAACCACCTAATTAACCGTCGCGAATATCAGTTTGTTACTCATCATAGACTGATATCATTTGAAGAACTGTACTTGCTAGGTCGCTGGCTAGCGTTTTTCTTCCCCACTTTTCCCTTCTAGATTCTCGCCGTCACCACTAAACCCAATTATTTTACGCCGCCCCCCCCCCCCGCAACAACGTATCTACCTATCTACAGGTTAGAGGAAAATTTATTATGAAGTGTTTGTTGCGGAACCAATGAGAACTCAGAGGAACTGGAAAGTAGCTTCACCCCAGCGTAAGTCTGCTCAGAAGTGTACACTCATGAAGCAGCTAGAAGTTGAACCCTAAAACAAGAGATCCAGCGATAAGCACCTTACCATTTAGCCATGAATATGACTTATTTTAACACTAGTATACAAATAGAAATTGAATAAGACATGCATTGAACCAAAAATTTACTAAACTCACCGACCACTCCAAACTGCTTCTACATCCAACATATGGTAATAATATTGCTTTCTTATCCCTTGCCAATTTAATCGTTGTCTGATTACACTTGTTGGGTTTATAAATTTTCCATCCAGCAATTGTTCACTGAATAGGGTGTATGTTTATTCTATAGGATTGAGCAGAAATGTGAATTGTTCCTTTCTGCAAGTAATGTTTATTTATGTGTATTTATATATGTGGCCAGGAGTATATGTACTAAAGATTGTTTTCTAACAAAACGTACAAATGCATGTATATATATCTTATTGAATGTAATAAGTAGTCTGTGAATTTTTAAGTTCAACGCTTTACCTCGTCTTGGTATTTTCTCTAGCTCCTCCGGTCGTTGGCGTCCTTATTTTGTTACTTCGATTTATTTTACTTGTACAGAATAAGTTGATGCAAGTAATGCATTTTTTAAAATTATTTTAGATTACTTTTTTAAAAGAAAACGGTTCAACTACACTTCATACATACACACACCCACTGAGTAAAATATAAGTAGTAGAATCATCATTCTGATTAACACTATGGACAGTTTTGTAAATGAGAAACGAGTGCAGAGAAATCAGTTCCAGCAGTGAACGTGATCAGCCTCCTTCATGAGTATCGTTATCATAAACATGGAGAAAATGTGTTACTGTACATAATTATAACTAGGACAACTAGCAAAAATAGAAGAGTATACACGCGTATATGTGTGAATATAATTAAACTTTAGCTAATTAGATAGTTAGTTAAGCAGTAAATTCAAATTTAGAAGAAAAATCGATACTTTGATTTGTGTTAATCTATTTTTATTGTATTCATGCCGACGTCTATGCATTGACTCTGTTTCTGCTTGTGTCTTTCATTTCATGTGTGCTAAACAATGGTGCACTATGTTCTGTGTAGATAGAACATATTACTTCAATGAGTGCATGCGCATTCATCAATGTTAGCAACATACAAATTATCTCTTTCACTCATTATTATTATTATTATTATTATTATTATTATTATTATTACAATAATATTGACGATAATAATGAGATAATTGTTAATAACACTGCACCTAGTGAACACTAAAAAAGTGATAATGAACTTTTCAAGTGCGTACTGCGAAATTTTGAAAACGATATAAAGAAAGAAATATACAACTGAAAAAAGTAGTAAACATTGATGAAGAAGACATCTGTATATGTATGTGTACTTAAAATGAGTTGTTTTACTGCAGTTTATTGTCAAGGATGTTTTACCACTTTTTCTGTTGTCTTTTTTTTCATTGTAAGGATACCCTAGCGCTAGAAGAATTAGTGCTATAAGCACGTAACTGCAGTGACGAGTTTATTGCAAAACTTGCAAAATTAGTAAATGTAAAGACATTTTATAACAAGCGAGCTAAGTACTTGAAACCCCTATTAACTAATTAAAATAAATAGTATACTCACAGTAAGTTCAGTCTATACTGTTCCTTGTTTCATCCCATTGTTGATGCAGATGAACCGATCAGTCTCTATTGGCATACAGCCTCCTGCCTGGATGCCTCGATATTGCCTGTGCTTCATTTCTATATTACTGAGGGGTAGTGGCTAGCAGTGGAATCCAGGACGCATGTTTCGTCCTATTCGGGACTCTTTAGCTACATGCACCTGCACCTCAGTGAGTGATGTTGCTCTCACTTAGGATCATTCCCAGTTCCCTATCACTTCAAACATCAAAGCGTTATCTGCTAGGCAGGTAGGACCAGCTGAGGAGACCCAAATAGGGAAAAAATGGTGTCCTGGATTCGACTGCTAGGCACCAAGCTGAATACACGATCATAAATATCTGCCAGTGTCGCTACATCCACGCTACAGCCCATCTGCCAACAGAGCTCGAGCAGTTCGACCTTGTATAACAACCAGAATTTACGAGCATTAACAAATGATACCCACTGTACAAGAGGCCCCTATCGTACCTTAGTGATCTAGTGGATGACAATTTGGAGTTTGCAGCGATAGGTAGGAGGTACGAATCTCAGTGTGGACAACATCACACGTGTGGAGATACATCCAGGTGGCGACTCCGAAATAGAGTAAAACGCGTGACTTGGGTTTTACTGAAGGTCACCAGGATGAATGCGAAAAACACTTGTTTTAACGAATTTTTCATTTTCAATTTTTACACCCCTAGGTTCTATAGTAGACATGCATTGGTACATGATTTGTAAGCGCGGTAAACTCATCATCCAAGTTGATGACATCTTCAAAATATTTCTGATAATGATTAGTGGTCATGTCAGTGATGCAAATTTCTTATTCATGCACCTCATAAACAGATGTGTGTGTGTGTATATATAGTTACATTGCACTTCACTTGTGTCATTTTTACTAAGATATCCGTAGACTGTATAACTGAATGCTGATTCGCTAAGGGCTAACAAAATTTATAAATGATGGAGATATAACCTAGTTTCAACTCATACAACTTAATGTCCTTGTGATAAGTTTTTAAACGAATATTGACTAGGAAAATTCAGCTTTTAAACATGACGACTGACTGTTTTACTAGATAACTGAGGTAACTCTGCATTTATATTGCTTTAACTCATAGACAGTCAAAAGACGTTATTTCAAAGTCGTGATTTACTCTTCTTCATGTGGATTAGACTAAGTGTCTTTTGTTTTGCACATACCTATAAAAATTAACAAAGATTTTGCCTGTCAAACTGTCTGTGATTGCTACTGGCTATCAGCAGAAACCTTACACTAGATTTTCTGAGGATGATCTGGCTTAAATATGGAAGAAATCATCAAGGAGGAAGAAGAAAACTGAAAAGAAAGAAATGGGAAAGACGAGTTAAGAAACTAATTGTATTAAAATAAATAAACACGTGTAAAGACAGTATCCATCTGTTCCAACGGTCTCAGTTTTAAATAAAGTCACAAAAGATATGCAGTCTTCGAATTCCACCGGATAGTAGTAAATAACAACTGACGTTAATAATAACTAAACAACTACTAGCTTCTCAGCTCCAAATACAGACCTCAAAAGTGTTTTTCAATCATCTCACTCCAAATCGATTCATAATCTTGTATAATGAATGGTCTCTGACTCTCATACGTGAAGAGAACCATCAGTCCAATATCACCCATTCAACGAACCAACACTTGGTAAGTAATTCACAGTATACACACCCCTGATTGAATATATCTAAGCGAATAACATTTAATAGATACATCCTAGGGCACAGTATGAAGTTGTGCTTCCCGGTAACGTCCTTACAGTCGACCGGTTAAGCTACTATTGGTAACAGCTTCAACATTTACTGAATGCCGCTAGTCTAATTGATTGCATCAGGTGTATCATTTTGTCTTGACACCAGTTTATCAGAAGTTATTCAACTTTTCACAAAGAAATAACGATAAATATGCTACAACACATTCTTCCATTCGGTCAAAATAACCATGAGTAGTTATCACCTTCTGTTTTTCAGATGGAAGAATTTTCATGGCTTTAAGTACAGTTTTCTCAGTATTAAGTTTTCCTGTATCAGCATCGTGTCACAAGTTTCCCATGGCATTTTGGACGGCAGAAACATTTTCAATAAGCCAAAGGTTTCAAGTGTCAAATAAGCATAAAAATCGGTCGTTGTTTATATTAATTCTACTAGTTCTACGCAGGTGAAATGATATTTCAAAACACGTTTCCACTCAAAATTTTAAAACAAAGCGGTAAACTGAGGTTGAAACTAGACGCACTTTCAGTCCTCTCTTTTAGTGAAAAAATTGTCAAAATTCAACTCTATTGACCAAACTACCAAGCGAGACTCAGGTGTTTCTAATTTACTATTGTGAAGCTTCACAAAAACACGAAAGACAAGAGACTTTTTGACAGTTCCTTTATTTTCTTGGTTACAAAAGATGTATACACTTCTGCTATTCGGTGACTAAATAGTTTCTCTTTTCTTTTGCTCTTTTATTTATACTACTAACAATTAACAAGTAGTCCAACTCATATCTTATTATTTCTTTCAATGTAATTTGTCCCGAATCGACAAGTCTTCACTGCAAGACTCTTATTAAAGTTGGTTTCTTCCTACCGATGTGTATTGATTCCAGTATTCTAGTTTTCTGCGATATATTTTTAGGTGTTTTGGTTATTTCCATGCATACTCGTTTCACATGTTTTTTTGCGCGTTTTCCTCCAGTGTGTACACATTTGCAGGTATAACATTTTTATTTGGTTCGCTGTCATCTTTCTGCTCATCCGTCGAAAAAAGGAAGGCGAAAATCGGAGTTCACTAGGTCAGCGAAATTAGTGATAAGAGTATCTAGTTCTCCGGTTACAAAGATTTATATAAGTTGGTCTGGTAGTTCTCATGCTAAACGCACAAACAAACTGCACATAATTTTTAATATGCGCTTTACTGCTTTAAGCCTTAGCAATCTCATACCATTCTTATAGTAAGTAGGTGATGTTGGCGATAGTGATGATGTGGAGGAGTACGTTTTTAACTCAACCAATTTTCAGCCCAAACATTTTCTCACTTTTCAAGAGCATCACCACAACAACGACAGTTCTTCCCTACTTTGTTATGTTTTATGAATATTATCCAGATTGCTGGGTCTTTCAAAAAATACCTTTTTAATTGGCGAATACCTTTTTCTATTCTTTTCCAAATGTACTCATTAGCCGTCCTTCGAAAAAAACTTCCCCGAACATTAAAATCCACTCAGCAACCTAAAGCAAGTTCGTGCAGTAGACACTGAGTGATACTTACTATGTATGGGCTATTGAGGCAAACTGACCGCCAAGACCTTGGTAAGTGGACATAATTTTGAACTTGTAAACAACTCTTTGAGAGTCAGTTGCCTAGAATGACGAGTCATAGCTCCTCAAACAGTTCACTAACATAATAGGAAGGAATACTAATCTCAGAAACGACACCGTTTACCTGTAGTCCTAATAAGATGAAGTAGCCTAAAGGCAGAAACAAATGAAGTTCAAATACCTTTCGAAAGATGTTGATAGGAGTCATTTAATTCAATTTGTGCCACAGAAAGCCTTTCGTGGAAACACACTGGTGACCTTTGAAGGAACTGCTGGCATTCATGATCTAACTACTCATTTCATAGAAGGGTCTTATCCCTCATTGTAATCCTGAACAAACATTTTAAACTGCTCAAATACTCTAAGCAGCAGCCAGTATCCTCTTAGAATTATAAGTTTATTGATGAGAAAATCACATATTTAATCTTAAAAAGAGATTACTACTAACACATTATTACTGTAAATTTGTAGGTAAATAAATGAACTGATATCAAGGTTATCAGAATTAAAAGTGATCCTGATGCAGTTCGGAGGATGCCATATATTTACTCTTGATTCATGATAAAATACTTAAGTAGCAATAGTATTTTATTTCACTTGTGAATAAGGTTAAGTTCGTTATAACCGTTTATCGTTTCACCTAAATTCCAAAGGCAGCTAGCTATCTGTGACATGCTGTTTCATCATCGGTAGGCACTGATTTCCCCTAGCTAACTGAATTAATGGTTCATTTATGTACGCTGTTGCTAGGATCGATGTACTAACATTTTTTACACCAATTACTTCTAATCACTTGTTACAGAGAAAAGACCAGAACAAACGTCTCCATGTCGTCTCTCATACCTTGTCATTATGCACATTGTAGTACAGTCTGTCATCATCGCAACACCTGCACACGCTAGCTACTG